TGATTTGACAAACTTTCTTTCAGACCTTAAACACCAAACTCGAGTTTTAAGTCTTGTTATTAGACTTTCATCACTTTAAAGGTCTTTAAATAGACAATATGAACTAACTGACTGTAAACTCACTTCTGTTGAACAGCCCCATGATATTCTGCATTAGAACCATGCAGTCCAACAGCTAGGCAAAATGTATTTCTACCAAACAGTATCCTGGGTAAACGGAGGAACAAAATACTGAAAAAAACCTCTAATAATGTGGTATTTTTGCACAGTATGCTCTTGGCACGGTGGTAGCTGCGACAAAGGCATCTAATGGGCTTCCTCAGCCTGGCGATGAGTACGACTTCTACCGAAGCTTCCCTGGCTTCCGGGCGTACTGTGAAAGACAGGGTGACCGTCTCCTTCAGTGGTAAGGGTGTTCTTGCATCTCTGGGCTGTTGCTAATAGCTTCCAGTCCAAACCAGAAGGTAGTACTTTTCTTTGGAGACTAAGCTTGCTGTAGATAAAAAGATGTTTTATTTCACATACCTAATTTTAGCTCCTTTTTTTTAGTTTAAGTAAAAAGTTTAAAGAGGGCATTCCGTAATGATTCGGATAAAGAGCTGTGCAGAGAGCAGAGGCTGATATAAAGCATATTAGGTTATCTATGTTAAAAGTCACGTGGTTCAGAAGAAATGAATTCTAACGTAATGTATAGGTGTTTCTTCTATTTACTGCTCATGCGATGTTATCTATAGGCACTGCATTTGATTTATTTTTAAACTTTGAAGATGCGGAAAGTTGAAGAGAATTGGGCAGTTTAGTGTTCAGTACAAAAAATTTGAAAGCCTGCTTTCAGATTGCTAATAGGTTTGCTGTTCTCTTGCAAGCATGAGCAAGGTGATGCAATACCATGGCTGCCATAGCCACATAAAAGATCGCAGCAAAGTGACAGAGCTAGAAGATAAATTTGACATGCTGGTTGACTCCAATGACGTCATTCTTGAAAGAGTGGTAAGCAGATTATTTCTGGATGTTGCTCTTGTAAACTTTTAGGGACCACAAGTTCTTTTTTCATTGCAAGAATTTCAGTGGTAGTGCTTGCCCAGTTACATTTAGTGTCTCCTCAATCTGGTCATTTTCCTTTTTATTTTAAAAACATTTCCATGTGATAGACCAGTGGTCACAGCATCTAAGGCTTACGAGGAAACTAAATACAGTTTGGCACAAGAACCTCACAACCTGAGAACAGATCTGTAAATTCATAAAGCTGCTTCTCTGAGGAAACTCTTCCTACCCCTGATGTTCAACATACTCCTCCCACATTTGTCTGTCTCGTGTTGCACGGAATTGAGGGGAAACGGCTGTGGGAGGTACCTACCTGTGTGACTTTATTCGGTCTGACTAGAGTGGCTGAGCGTGGTGATTTAACAGGTGTTTGGTTTTCACCACGTTTTTCTGGAATTTAGGGTATTTTATTGGACGAGGCAGCAGGAGTGAACAAAAACCAGCAACCGGTCCTCCCTGCTGGGTTACAGCCCCCACAGACGATCATTTCCAGCTGGAACCGCAAGGTGAGGCCTCTACACTCGGGCTGCTCTGTTACCTTAGCTTTTTTCCCAGCATTGTCACTACTGATTTTCCAGTGGAGCTGACTAACAGTTAAATGTTCTGTCATGGTTTTTGACATGTCCCAACTCCCTCTCTTTTTTTCCTTTTCCAATTTATTCAAACTTGATTCTGGATTCTGTATGCTTTCCATTGCTGTTTCAGTTTCATGTACACAACAGCCTTTCTTTTGCTTATTCATATAAATTCAGGATCCTGATTCAGAGAACTTTCATTCTTAGGTGCTGCACTTACTGCAAGAGAGTGACTCGGTTTTGAGTTTGAGGTCTAACTTTATTCCTCTGAATGTTGGGTCAGGGTGAGTAAAAGAAACTGAATGTCTGTTAAGTCATGTGAGTTTTACCTGTGGTTTACCTTTTTTTAAATAGGCGGGAGAATCCCACAAGAGAGCTCAGTCCGAGACCTTCCGACTGCTTCATGCCAAGAATATCTCTCGACCACAGCTTAAGTTTCGGGAAAAGATTGACAACTCCAACACTCCCTTTGTACCTAAACTTTTTATCAAGCCAAATGCTTTGAAACCTTTGCCTGAAGGTAAGGGGTTTATTTTTTGTTAGGTAACCTGTTGGGAGTATTTGACACACATCTGTCCTCACAGTCTAGAGGAGAAATCATTGACTGTAAAAACAAATAATAGCAGGAGGTGTTGACCGTTTAGGTGTTGTAAGCTCTGTGACTCTGTTAATTACACATGTGTAGTGTAAGGGTAGGTCAGCATGCAGCATCTTCTTGTTGGTGTACAGTAGATAATCTGTTACAAACAGATATTCTGCTTCTCTTTACCACCATTTAACGTACACAATAAGAGTCACTCTGGCACCAGAAGTGGTCTTGACTAGTCTCATTGGCTTTACAAATGCTTCTTTCTGATTAGTTAGGAGCACCAGGGGTATGGTTAGACCTGCCTTTGCTTTGGGTGCTTTATCAAAGCCTGACATCCTGTCCCAGCAACATGTCATTCTGCTGCTGGTGATTCATCCTTAGTCCTCACTGATGTGGTTGTTCTTTTAGTAACTGGGAGTGATTGAAAGATTTTTCTGAAGATTTTTCAATCTCCTTCCAAGCTCTTGAGCAGAACCACCTTGTGTCTTGCTTAACAACAGCCTGGTAAAACCTAGTAACTGAGTTGTCATTAGAGGTTCAGACAGGAATCTTGCTGACAGCAGAAGCTGCAGGTCTACTTTGTTAAGATTTTTGATATTTTATGATTTTAATAGGATCTTGTGGTGGGTGGAGGGGGAGAGAGTAGTAGGCTGAGAACATGTTATGTGTGGGACCCAGTCCAGTTGTTCCATATTGGTTGTTCAGCCCTCACAAAAAGTGGACGGGAACGAAAGGAGCGCCCTGAAGACTTGGATGTGCCAGCTGCTTTGGCAGACTTCATACACCAGCAGAGGACGCAGCAAACTGAGCAAGACATGTAAGATATTAAACTGACAGCAAGGTGCTTGGAGTACCGTTGGTGAACAGGCACTTGTATGGTCCCGTTGTGCTGATGCTACTGACATGTAACAGCTCTGCATGTGTTTGTGTCCTCACAACGTTGTGCGTGATTTGCTTTAGACATCTATGGTTATTTTAAACTTATGCTTAATAAGAGATGGAATTTCTACTCAGTAGGGAAACTGCCGTAGCTCTCAAAGTCTCTGTGCTCTGGCTTCATAAAGATGACTGAAATTTAGTCTGTGCCTGTCTTCCTAATTTCCACAGGTTTGCTCACCCTTACCAGTATGAACTGGAGCATTTTTCTCCACCAGATGGAGTTCTCACGAAACCAGAACCCCAGGTTGGTGGCCACATTAATTTAAACTTACTGCAGATGCAGTGAGTTTATAGATGACCATACCTGGCGAATTTCAGAATTGAGGGTGGAGGCCAGGGGTGGGATTAACAGAGAACATACCATGCCTAATTATTTGCTCTGCCAGATGTACAGACCCATCAAGGAAACACCCTGTCATTTTATCACCACACTGGATGAGCTGGTACAACTAAATGAAAAGCTTATGAACTGTAAAGAATTTGCCCTGGACTTAGAGGTAATCAAATTGCCTTTTCTGTTTGAAAGTTACATATGTACTGTTAGTACCTAGGAGATGGTTATATTCTTCTAGTCTGTTCTGTAGTCTTCTCTTTCTCCTGCTTTTTGTACTTTGACATGAAAAGACAGTTCATTACCCTGATCTGTCAAATATTATAAAGAAGGTTGGATTAAACTGTGTCGGTATTACAAGTTTTCCAATTTACTGGCTGCACACTTCATGCTGAATTTGATCTTTTTTCAATTCATCCCATGTTTTTTTGTGTCATGTTAGTGACTGCAAAGAGAAAGCTTGCTCATCCAATTGTCTTTTTCTTTAAGAAGTCCTCTGTTACTTTTTCTTCCTTCATTTGGGGCACTGTTTGTTTTATAGTATTACTTCTGTAATGGATCCTAGCTTACATCTCTCATCCGTGGTTTTCAGCACCATTCCTACAGGAGCTTCCTGGGCTTGACATGTCTGATGCAGATTTCCACCCGAACAGAGGACTTCATCATTGATGCGCTGGAATTGCGCAGCGACATGAACATTCTCAATGAGACCTTCACAGACCCTGCAATTGTGAAGGTCAGCTGCCAAATTCGCCAATTCACCACCAGAATTCCTTTTTTCTTTTTTTTTCCTCCCCTTAGTTTAAGCTTTGTTATAGTTAAAAGCACACTGTGTGCTCTGTCTTGGTCACTTGGCTCTGCTTTCATTGTAATTATTCGTGTGCCTGTTTCCTGCATGTAAGTGGCGAGTTACTTGCCAAGTGCACTCATTTAGTAGTTCTGCACTTAACAGTGAAGGACAGAGAGAAAAGAAATCTGGTCCTAGATGTAAGGATATGAAACCACAACGCGGCCAGTCTGGAGCAGAAATGTTCTTTATATCACTCTCAATTTGTTTTGCTTTTCAAGGTCCTTCATGGTGCTGATTCAGATGTGGAATGGCTGCAAAAAGACTTTGGCCTGTACTTGGTGAACATGTTTGATACTCACCAAGCTGCTCGTCTCCTCAATCTTGGCAGGCACTCTTTGGACCACTTGCTAAAGCTGTATTGCAATGTAGATTCTGACAAGCAGTACCAGCTGGCTGACTGGAGGATACGGTAAAAACTGACCCCTTAAACGGGCTAGCGCTGCATAGCGCTTATCCTTGTTTGTATTGTTAGTGCAGGAGCGTGTTTCTAGTTGCAAGCCCCATAGTTGTAGGTTAGTCTCAAAGTGAACAAGCACAGAATTTACCTGGCTGTACTTAAGTTCTTTTAAGAGTGTACATTTTCCCGTGTTTCTTTAGAAAACTAGTTCTTTTGGGAAGACTAAGTAATGAAAAGCTCCTGGAAGCTCACTTCTTAGGAACAGCGCTTAAACACTGCGGTATTGTGGAGAAAGTCAGTATTTGCACCTCTAGAGCCCCCCCAAAAACATTTAGTCGCCCACACTAGGTGGAGCAGTGTGCCGTTGGAGCAATGAGCTTGGCTGTGCAGATGGACCCTGCATACCCCAGAGATCCAAGGTCTACTTTGTGTGGGCTCTGCAGAGAGGAGAGATGACAAATACCATAGCAAGCAGTTCTTAGCTTGCAGTTCTAAGCTACGTGGCAGTCTTGCTCTCTGGCTTGTGAACAAGATGCCATCTGAATTGGAGAGCACACAGCCTGTTACTGCTGTTGCCCAATGAATCCTTCAGTAAGGAAACAGAAGAATTTCCATATTATTTCTTGGCATGTTTTATGTGCAGTTTGCCCTAATATGCCTTGCAAGAGGAAAGTGAGGGTTTGGCAAGTCAGCTGAAATGTGTTAGTGTAATTTTGGCTCTTTTTCTAGCCCTTTGCCAGAAGAAATGATTCGGTATGCCCGTGATGATACTCACTACTTGCTCTACATCTATGATAAAGTGAGGGAGGCGCTGTGGGAGAGAGGGAACGAGCAGCCCACTCAGCTGCAGGTTGTGTGGCAACGCAGCAGGGACATCTGCCTGAAGGTAAAGCTTCACCTGGTTGGATTACCTGGATCAGAGTATGGGCTTAGTAGGACAGAAAGTCCTTGACCTATTCTACGTCTGTTGCATAGGTGCAGGTTTTCTTCCTCCTTGTGTGTCTGAAAACACCTGTACACACTCTCAGTTGTGTGCAGTCACTTGTTTCACTAGCTAAAATCCTTGGATTCATATACCTTCTTGCTGTTTTTTGAATGCTAACACTCCTTGGCCTCCCAATGCTTTCAGGTGTGTCTTTTCCAGGAGAGATGTTACATTTCCAGTTCTACTGGGTGTTCCTAGAAGTTCAAAGCCTAGCTGGAGTTGCATTATGAGATAATTGCATTCTGCCTGTGGAAAGTACTGTCTATGAAAGTAGGATTTGTCTAATGGAGTTTACTACTTCAGGCTATTTTAGCTTGAAAATGTTCTATGTCTGAAGCTGCTCCTGGAGTTGGTGAGGGTGCTTTTCCCCTAAAAACAGGAGAGATGTATGTTTTCCAGGGATAGGCTCCTACCAGTAGTTTAGGGTAAAAGCTCCAAGACATGCTGTACCCAAGTTTATTCAGTCCCCTTATGTCTGTGTGAGATTCTACGTGTCTTAGTGAAGCAAGCCAAACTAGAAAGCACAAATCTGATACTGATCATGAGTGTTTCTTTTTTTGCTGTCCAGAAATACATCAAGCCCCTCTTTACAGATGAGTCCTACCTTGAGCTCTACAGGAGGCAGAAAAAACACCTCAACACACAGCAGCTGGCAGCATTTAGGTTGCTGTTTGCATGGAGAGACAAGATGGCGCGTCAAGAGGATGAGAGTACAGGGTAAGAAGTCTTTTGTTACAGACACTGACTTAATACTTCAGTGAGTCTCTTGGATTGTGCCCCTCCCACCCCTGAGCTGGACCCACTTTGTTACCTGTAGAAATTAGTGTAAGTACCTCAGGCTGCTTTTTACACAGAAGTCCTGTTACGTTAGCAGTACATTCTTACAGGTATCTAGATCAGCCCTACTTAATTTCTTTAACTGATTTTGTCTTTTCAGACCTTGTAATTGGGGCAGACTTGTGCAGTTTGAAGGTATTTTTAAGAGTTTTTAACATTGTTACATTGACACTGCCTCTTTGTGTTGTAGATATGTGCTACCAAATCATATGCTATTGAAGATAGCGGAGGAGCTGCCCAAGTAAGTTTTGTTCACCCTTGAGGAGTCTCATTTGATTTTACTATCCAGCAAGTTATTTCCTAGTGGGTAATTACTACTGCAGTTGGTCCCTTATTTCCAGTGTCAATACTGCTTTTCTCTATAGTTACACAGTTTGGAGGAGAAATAAATAGCAATACTCCTTCAGAAGGCTCCAAACCTTTTCTGGGATACATCTATCTCTGATTTTCTTCCACTAGTAAAACACATTCCTTTGCATTGCTGTATGTCACACGTCCCCCCTGAGATTCCTACAGTATTACAGAGCAAGAGAGGGATGACTTCCCTGTAACATTTATTTGGGCCTTTTTTCAGTTCCCAAAGAGATTGGGGGGGGGGCAAGGGGCAGATTCCTTAGAACACTCAATTTATACAACATATTCCTCAAACACTTGGCACTCATCATCTACTATCCATACCTGAGAATAATAAAAATGCATCTTTAAATGCAATTCCAATGCTGGGCTCAGCTTCTATAGATGAATACTGAACAAGGAATGAAGTGAAGATGAGGACAGACAGACCGACCACAGAAAAGACAAGTGAGAGGAGAGCTGAGCTGAGCTGATGGTTTCTCCTTGTCTGCACAAACCTAATACAGAAGAATTTTCCATCACAGAGAATAGACTCTGACAGATTCATGTGACTTGTCTTATTCTGTCACAGTCAGGACGTGGTTCTATCTGGTTGCACATCCTTTGAATGCAAATGCCTGACATATTGGCCATAAATACAGCACACTGAATTTTTCTCATCTCTCTTTAGAGAACCCCAGGGCATCATTGCTTGCTGTAATCCAGTCCCACCACTAGTTCGCCAGCAGATTAATGAATTGCATCTTCTCATCCAGCAGGCCCGGGAGATGCCTTTGCTTAAGGTAGGAGTAGCTCGTACCACGCAAGAGACTCATCACTTGCTTTCTGTAAGCCAGGGACAGGAGCTAAATGGTGACCTGTGGTGGTGTGTACGCTGAGGTTTGCTTTTTGAACACTGTGAGTGTAGTGTAGAGCAGAAAGATATATTGCAACTCCTTCTTGCCTGTTGTCTGCTGTGTACTGGCTTACACACAGTGTAGTTTCCTGCAGAACTAGAGCGATAAGAGACACTACTTGAACAGGGTGCGGTTGTCTGTCTCACATTGCACATCATGTTTGCCTGCGTGAGGAAGAACTGGACCTTGTGGAATTCACTGGCCATGTAAATGGATTCTTAAATCTTTTACAGCTATGGAGAAGCAAAAGAACCCTCTAGGTGCAAGAGGTTCCTTAGTTAAAATGCATCGTCAGCATGTTGATATTAATACAGTCTTGCTCCTTCAGTGAAACAACCGTTTGTGAGCAGGGATGTGTCCTTTCTGTGTGAGGTGTTTAAATGTATCCGTCTGCAAACCCTGCAGGAGAAGACGACAGACTGTAAATTTATTACAACCTGATAGCTTGTCATAAATGTGTTGAAACCATTGAAAAGGAGCCAGCTTAGGAGAAATAGGGCAAGTGCATTTAAGTGACTTCTCTTTCTCTCCCATTCTAGTCGGAGATTGCTTTGTCAGTCAAGAAGAGAGCGCCTCTATCCAACCCTGAGGTACTGTTGTGTAGTATTTGTTTCCTAATGCTTTAAGCCTTAAACTCAGAAACAAATGTAGCAGAATTCTAGCTTCTAGTGAATTGTTTACTCTCATCCATTTTACAGGTCTCTCCACTTTAGTTTAATGTTACTTTTCTGTGCCAGACTCATAACATTACCAGCTGTAAATTGGTATTATTTTACAAACCACCATAATAACAGCACTTAAGGCTTCATAAGCAAACTCTCTACATGCTGGACAGTTTCATGTGTGTTAGCCTATATTGACTGATTGGTAAGAAGAGAAGTTTCGGGTGAGTTTCCCAGGCTGACTTGTTTACTCTCCTTGTGCCTACGAAGAAAAGTATCTCCCTGAGCCCGTGGGTGTTTGCACAGATAGACTTTTGATGCCAGATGCAATGTGCTCTGGCAGGTGAGCTGTATTAAGAATATTCAGTCTCTGAATTTCATGCTTTTATTTGAATTTACATTAATGTGTCTCTGCAATATGTGAAAACATATACAGATGCATAGAGTAGTATATTAATATTAATGGTTTGTAATTTGAATCTCTCTGCAGAGGCTGGAGAATACCTTCTTTGGACCACATGACAGTTCCCGGATTCCTATGGATGATTTTCAGAACAACTCTGCCTTGGGTAATTTGGACTTAACCTAAAACTGTGCTAATAATGACATGACGTGGCTTTGATATGGGGAAATAAGCAGCCCTGAAGAAATTTTCAGTGAAATCTCATTATACAAAAGAGCAGTAAAATATTCAAGTATCTGATAAAAATTTTGTCTCCTTTTCACATAGAGCCTGCACCAATTTTGGAACATGGTTGTCTCTTTTCAGACAGTGAGAGGACAATGAATATTCAGGGTGTTCAACCAGAGTCAACATGTCTTGTTGCGACTGCCACTGTCAGCATATTCAGTGTAAGCAACAACTTTGTGATAATGTCAGTATTTAGGTGTTAGAAAACATACTTAATAATCTGATAAAACTGTGTGAAAGTGTTGCAAGAAATAGTAAGGCGGGACAAGCATGGAAATGGTACTGGCTTCCTGTCAAGCGTATGGCATAACCAGGACACCTAGGTTAGGAGGCCAGCAGGTTAATTGCATCTCTCTGGAGGGTTACTGCCATCAGTGGAGTTTCAGATGGAGTGAGAAGGAACATGCATGAAACGGCAGTAGTCAAACCCCAAAATTATTATTGTTAATATTTCTTCCCTTTTTTTCTTCTTTTTTTTTTTTTTTAGGAATGTGATGAAGAAGGAGGAAATGAGAAGACTTTAACAACTGCACAGCAGAAAGCTCAGCGTATAATGGAATCCTTTGAAAATCCATTTAGAATGGTAAAAGCTCCCAATACATGTTTGTAATGGGACTCATAAACTACCTAGTGCAGAGGGTGCTCTGAGCTGTTTTTTCAGGGGTGTCTGGAAGAGCTTGATCACCTGCTGCTCTCTTACTGGAATAGAGAGATTGTCCTTGCAAAGCGCACACGTGTGGACTTGTTTTCAAAACACGTTGAAATGCCTCTTAGATATATGTCTTTCTACATAGTAAACAGACCTTTCACTGTTTTGTTTTTTTTTTAGTCAAGTTTGAGGGTTTTTTTAATTTGCATCAGACTTTCATCTCTATGGCTAGAGTTGGTGAGCTGATTTTACCCTTCTAATGAATCAGAAGAACAATAGAATACTTTATTACAGATTTGGAGTGGCAAATTACTAGGAAACAATATCAAAACAACTTTTGCTGGTGTGGTTGGGGGTTGGTTTTTTTGGTTTTTGTTTGTTTGTTTGTTTTTTGTTTAACTTTTCTCTTGGGCATAACTGTGGTAACATTTATTTTTCCAAAAGATGTTCTGTCTGTAGAACATTTCTTAAATATAAACTTTATTTGAAACATTTCAAGTAGCATTTTAGCAATGAGCTGAATGTCATGTGCTGTGTTTAAAGTGAAATGGTTTTTTTCCTCTCTACAGTACCTACCTTCAGAACAGAATCCTGCCTATGTCTCACAAGCTGCGAAGTTTGACCCATCATCAAAAATTTATGAAGTAAGACTCATGCTATAATTTCCTGCCAAGTAGTATAAAAAGAAAGATATAAGTATATTCTTTTTTGGGAACCTCAACAATATAGATTTTTTTTTTTTCGCCTTGGATTCTCTTTAGAAAAAGTTTTGAGAAACTTGACATGGTTTTGAATCTGTAGTTCATTGTTTCTGTAGCACTTGTACCCTTTGAAGAACCAGGGATTGGAGACATTCCGCTGTATGCTCCCTGTCTGTGGAAGCTTCAGACTACTGCTGAAGTCTGTATCTGCCTTTGTTCTCATGGCTTGTTTGTAGCTCAGAGCTTTTACAGCGCGTGGTTTTACTTTACCTGGTGCAGCAGATCTTAATCTCCTTTACAATCCAATTTGATCTTTTGTGCTCTTAATGAAGACCAGCATGTGGTAGCAAGTTTATAAACTCCCTTTTGCCGTAAAAGTTCAAAGAAAGTGATCCCAGGTAATTTTTTTTTCATTGCAGATCAGCAATCGATGGAAGTTGATGAGTCAGACACAAGTACAGAAGGAGTCCAAGGATGCAACCAAAAAGAAAGCAGCCCAGCAGTCAGGTACAGCCGTTCTTCCCTTCCTCAATGTGTTGGCTAGCATGCTTTTCCCAATGCGCATAGTTTGTTTTCCACTTATAAGAAAACCTCAGGTGATGTATTTCGTGATGGATGAGATGGTGTGACAAAGGTCGTCCTCAGTTTAGTTTGAGACTTGCTACAAGCTGGTTTGCTTGCTTTTTCTGACCTCCTGGCTAACATACACCTGCTTTTTACAGTAATGCTTGTTTGTTTCCATAGCTGCTCGTGACCAGGCACAGAAGGTGTATAAAGAGGCAGCAGAAAATATCGTGTCTGTTCGTCAGCAAGCTATGGTATGTCATTGAATTCCCTACTTCCAGCCTTTGCCCCTTTTGATCTTTATATATAGTTCAGAAAGAAACCCTCACCTCTGAAAGACCTGAATGACAGTCTTTTGATAGCGGACTTTCTGTCATTCTGCCCTGTGTGTAGCAACAGGTCCCTAGGAACTGTGCTGTGCAAATCTTTGCATCCCTCCATCTCTTCAGTAGGGAGTGTTTTCTGCTCCTCGCTTGCCTAGGTTCCCTCAAGTCTGCCTGTGTGGGGCCACAGCAGATCTCAGTCTCTAGTATCCTGTGCAATGACAACTTGGCTTTTCGTCTGAAAAGTGCCTGCTGTGAGGAAGAAACCCAAAGCAAGCAGTTTAGGCCCAAGGAAGAACACAGTGCTTTCTCCCTGCACTGTTATTACCACAGGCAATAGCTGTCACTGGGGCCTACGTCCGTTGGGCAGTTGTCTGCCTGGTGGTGTTCATGCCTATGCAGGGATGTTTCATTCTCCTCTCCTGAACTTGTCAGGTCCGTTGGGCAGTTTGTCTGCCTGGTGGTGTTCATGCCTACGCAAGGATGTTTCATTCTCCTCTCCTGAACTTGTCCTTGCTTCTGTTCTGTGGGTTGCTTTCACAGCAGGAACAAGCTAATAAGAAGAGAAAAAAGAGTCATGAGTGAAACAGGAACAGAGTTGCCAAAACAAGAGAAGAAGCGGCCAAAAGCCTCCCAGCAACCAGAGGAGCTGGAAGCACCGAAGCAGTTTACCCCCTTTGATTACAGCAAGTCCAACTTCAAAGTGTTTGCGGGTAAGATGTGGATCTCTTGCTGGAGTGCTGCAGGCTGTGGAAAACGTTGCCAGCTGAGCCCCGAGAAGGCTGTGTATGAATGTGGGTGCCAAGGCACTGTTACAATGCACTTACCTTACAATGAGGGAACACTAAAAGAAATTAACTTGGGGAACTTGCAGTTTAGCATCCCTTTTTCAATTTGGAAGCAAAATCCTGAATGAGTTGGCCAAGGGGATTGTGGATTTGGATTTTGCTTCTTTTCTCTGTAGAGGAAGTTACCTGTTTAATTGGACCCCAGGAACTGGGAGGCAAAGGAGATTCAACTCCTTTGTGACAAGTATCTATTCAAATGCATCTCCTGCCCTTAAGAGACTGTTCTGATTTTTAGCATGTGAGAGACAGAGGAACACTGTGTAATGTACTGGGGTTTATGGAAAATTTTAGTGACAGCTTCTCTTCTTTCTCCCTTAGGAAGCAGCAAATCAAAGCAGTCGCCACAATTTGATCCTGCCAAGCAAGCTTACGCAGGCAAGGTACGGGCATGACATGCAAGAAGAACAGAAGTGTTGACAATAGCACATACCCAGCTGGGGACGCGCTGGGGAGGGCAGATGAGTTTTTTTCTGGATCTATAGAATGTTCCCTGACAGCACCTGGTGCTGAGATGCAGCTTCCAATCACAAGCTCATACTTTATATTATCCCCTCTTCCCATTCAGAAAGGGCTTTCTTGGGAACTCTCAGACTCTCCTGTTGTTTCCCACCTCTTCATACATTGTTCACACCTCCGCTTCCAAACGTCACAGGCATGACACTTGGACCACAGCCCAGCACCACAAATTCCCAAACCAAATTCAAGGCACTGCCAAAAATCTCAAAGTCAGTCCAGTCGTTCCAGGCCATGTCAGGTCTGTGTGTTACCCACATTCTCCACCAGGTACTGTCATTAGGAGAACAGTCTCAGCTCAGAGAATTTTTACTTAATTTATTGCTAATTGAGATTGAGAGATGAAGAGAAGAGAGAAAACAGAGACATACTTAGGGAGACCTGTGACCAGCCCCTCACTGCAGATCTGGGTTACCTAAACCCCCCCATGTACACTCTGCATCGTGCTCATGCATGGAGCGTTTGGGTGCTGATGTGTGACGTCAGTGGGTGTTCAGGCATGAAGTAATAGGGTGCCCATGTGTGAACTCATGAGGCGCTTGAGCATTAATTTTACGATCTGAAGCTCATTTCTTGCATTTCAGCCTCCTTCCTGCAAATTCAGCCAGAGGGCAAATGGTACCTGGAAGCATCTTAGATATTCATTAAAAGTTGTATTTTAGAAGCTGAACAAGTTTATGCCTGATAGTGTAGGAAACAGTTTTCTGTGCAGTCCTTTTGCTGTGTCAGTTGAAACTTGTTTCGGGAGGTAAAAAAAGAAACGAGTTTGTGAATTTGGGACAACCTGTGCAGATCTTTCTGTCTAGAAGGGTAAGATTTGTCGTCAGTGGGGTGTTGTGCCTCACCTGTCAAGGTTAGACCAGTAGAACAGCACTAACTCAGATGCATTCAGTGCATGTGCATATAAAGAAATCCTAAAACTTAAAAGCTCGCCTGTAAACGAGCAGTGTTCCTTGAAGTTGGAGGGACCTGACAGCCCATGAATCTCACGGAATGTACTGTATTTGGCAGGGACTTCACTGTGGTGATGGTGTGTTGGTTTTTTTTTTCTGTGCAGAAATTTGCTGGAGCTGGAGCTAACAAACTTCAACAATCTGGAAACCGAAGCATGTCCTACCTGGCGGGGAAAGCTGATAGGTGTGTTGTCAGCCAGCGCTCATCTCATCGCAGTGGTGGAGTGTTCTCATGCCTGTGCCCTGGAGCTATGGGCAAAGCATAGCTATTGTCCTCTATTGCTGTGGGAGCTTAAGCACATGTTTAATAGGAAGAGATTGCATCACAGCTTGACGTCAGCTTAAAGGAAAAAAGGAAGAAAAAAGCTTGGTCAGGATTAGTGCAATCAAAGACAATTCTGGGTGGAAGGTTTGAAATGCTGAAGTAAAAGTTTGTGTTAATAGATGTGGGAGTCTCTGTGGCCACAAAGATGGGTAGAGGTGGGGAGAACATTTCCCTAGCTTGGGAGGAGGATAAATAACTACTGCCAAATATGAACATTCTTGTTCCGAATAGATACGTAATGTGTAGCTTACAAGGCTTGATCCTTGGGTATTTTTTAGTCATAAAAGAGCAGCGCTACCTAAGGGCAGCATTGGGGGGAGAAAGGTTCTGTCTGCATCATGACCCTTTCTCAATAGAATCATAATCTATCATACATAGGTTTTCAGTCTTGAGTGACTCTAGAGCAAGAGTTAAAAGTCTTTCTGTTGCTGTCTTTTGCAGGGGTTCCAGGCACCACTGGCCAAAGAGATAGTCCTTGTTACAGGACCTGTGGGAGTTGCTGCTGAACGAAACAATTGTCAGAAGCATTGTCACCATGGGAAGGCAAATACCGGTCATGGAGCAGTTTTTGTACAGAAATGTTTTTAAACCCATTAAAATCCTTTTTTTTCCAAAAGGAAAAACATCTTAATTGATGTCATTTTTGTTATATTCCCAGTGGTTTTTTTCTAATTATACTCGCAGTGTTGCTTTGTTTCTAATTTTGAAAGTTTATCCTGTGTCCTTAAACACAGTTAGGCTGAACTTGTCACTTCTTGGAGTTGCTTCAAGACCAGAACCAGCATGTCAGTGGAGTATGAGGAAGGAACCTCTTGGCATCTCTAAAGCCAGCACAAAAATAATAGATTCAGTAGATGTGACTCAAACCCCAGCAGTCCGGAGGAGGAAATAAGGCCAGACTGTCTTTTCTGTTAGACCCTGGTTACAAATCGAACTGCCCAGCTCTTCTCTTACAAGACAAGGTATTATGAATAATTAGTGTGTTTACCTGGCAGTGTCTGTGTATTTTTAAGCAAAAATTTGATTTTAAGGGGAAAAAAAAAAAGAGTACTTTTTGGATCAGAGACCAGTAGTTTCACCATAGAGTGAAATCGATAGCATTAGGTAGAAGGTAAAAACACAAGAGTGCAATACTGGGTTGGGGAAAGCCAGTGAGGCTCTGCTGCAGCTGAATCCCAGTACAGCTCTACTAACATTTCAAAGTTTTAAATGCCCACAGTGAGCTCTCCTGAGGTCTTTGTAGAAAGAGTATCAGCCCATAATTTGATGGATGGATGGCAAAGCTTATTCTAAATGCCGGCAACTGAAGGCTGATAACGCTGCTGGGAAAGGGGTAAGTAATGTTGCAGTTTAACAGTCGGGAGTACTGAAGGGTGGGGCTGATGGGACTTTGCTTGAAGCCACACTGAATCGGTGGCAGAGCTGCTGCTTGGGTTACTGGTCACTGCCCTGGCCAATAGATCTTGCTGCCCTTCCCAAAGGCCTTGTCTTTGTGAATTCCTTTTCCGAGTCAGGATTTTCCATTTCATGCTCACCTGTTTTGGCAATGACAGAATTTACTTCTCTGACTGTTAGGGTAGGTGCAAGGACCAAGTGGGCAGTGGTAAAAACTTCCCTTTCTGTTCCTAACCCGAGGGCTCTCTTTTACAAAGACTTGGGATTTTGTCCGTTTGTTTGGTTTGGGATTTCTCTCTTACAAAGACTTGGAGAGTATTGGAGAATGATTTTGTTTGTTTGTTTTCAATCTTTTCCCCTATTTCTGGGGAGTAGGGAGGGGAAGGGAACAGAGGAAGGGTTTTTCTTCTTGGGTACCTTAGTGTGAACAGCGCTGACTGGGCAGCATTGTAATGGTAGAACAGAGTCCCTTTCTGCTCATAAAATCTGCTTGCACGGCTGAATATTGGAGAATGTTTTTGAAAAGAGGCACTTAAATAGCAATTGTCTCTAAGTGCATTTGCAGGGGCTGCCCATTCCCCTTCTTGTCAGCTTCACCACTTCTGGTATGTCTGTAACTGGAAGAATGAGAAAGTCTTACCAAAAGCCCCACAGGCTGCAGAGCTATTAAAATGTCTGTAGTTTCTTTAAGCCCTTTAGTTAAAATTCCATGCAAGGTGACAGTTCAAGCATGATCTTAATTTTAGTCTCTTTTTCTGGTTTCCATTTACGAGTTGCAGCTTACTGCCGTAGGTTCTAAAAACGCCTTTAATGGAAGTGACTGGTAAACCCGTGCGTGCTCTATTCACCGGGTTACACCCCTGACTCGGGGAAGGTGTAGCACTGGAGTCCCGTCACCGAAGGCAGGTTCGCTGCCGTGCAGCGGTGGCTGCGGATCCGGCCGCAGCCTGGCTGGAGGAGCGCTCCCGGTAGAACCGGAGTTTCTCCCGCAGCCAGTGGGCGCCGCGCGTTGCGAGGCTTCTGAGCGCCCGCCAGGGCTCCGGAACGGGAGCGCGGCGGCTGCGTGGGGAACACCCAGCGCTTAAACCATCCCCGGGAGACTTTTTTTTTTTTCCCCCCGAAGGCCGT